TGCGCCGTGCCCCTGCGCTGTCCACCCTGCCCGCCTGCTTTCCTTCTTAGCCCCGCTCGTGTGTGGATGTTTTGGAAGGCCCGCAGGCCTTCCAACGAATACGAAAGGACTCGATGAGAAATGTGTTAAAAATTTTGTGGCAGATTTATACAATATACGAGTATTATGTTAGTATTTTATAAGTGTTACTTGGAAATCATATTTGTTGGGTTGTTTTTGGTTCTAGAATATATTTGTAATCGAGTGATTTTGTTCCTATGACTGTTGTGGAACATACACTCACACTACTATGGATATAATGAACTCGGATACAGTGAACTTTCGGTTACAGCGAACAAGTCATTGGACTAGATGGCCATTACTACAAATAAACATTATATTATTTGGTTTTAGTACACTCTTCCCAGAGATTAGAGTGGAGAAAATACTTCTCCTCAAAACGTCTGGAGAGAAAATACTTCAGCTGAAAAAGGCGAATTCCAATAACACCACAAGATGGTCTCATGAGTTTTTTATAACCAAATGTATAAAATAAAAGAGACTGAGGGGACCTACAATTGAAGAGATTGTTTCAGATCACCTATGGCTATTCTGTCGAGCATCTAACGAACCGAACCAACACTTCTAAATACTATTGTTCTAATCACCACCGTCGCCATCGTTTCCGTGGCTCCATTGGTTTTCTAAGTTTATTGTTGGTGAACCACGTTTATGGTCACAGTATATTCCTTAATTCATGAATAGGTACAGAAAGACTTGACCTCTTTTTAATCTCTAGCGTGCCCCTTGTAAATTTCAAAAAATTAATAAAGCATGTGTTTTAGCTTAAAATAAAATTACGCGAAGATTCTACAATTTAAATAATTTGCTTTGAAGTCCCCTTCCCCATTGTTGGTAAGACCGATACCTATGTTAATAACTTTAACATACTTCCCAAAACTTTGTATTATAAAAAACATTATGACTAGTAATATTTTTACTCAAGATAGTTGCAGAAACAGTTTGTGCTGTAAGCTTTAAAAAAATCGGAAATTGAAGTAGTAGGTGCTTCTCATGTTTGTAGCTAGAGAAGAAGTCAAACCGGAGATTTCCAGACATCGCATACCAGTCAAATTCTCAGTGTTTTCATGAAACCCAAATTCACAGGAAAGTAACAAAGTGCAGTTTAATTTTGATTTTTTTAAAAATGTAAATACATTTAAATCGCATAGGTGCAAACCCCATATAAAACTTAAACAAGTGAACACGTTCCAAATCTTATTTTCTTTTTAGATAAATGATACGTATTGTACGTATCATTTAATAAAAATATACGTACGATAAATGATACGTAAGATAATTGACATTAATTTCCAGTAATTTATTTTTGAAGCTTAATACAATTTTCGTATTTTACGTCACGCAATCATTTCAATACCATTAAAAAATTAATAGATGGTTTGAAATCATGATTGTGATCGCTCCAAGTCTATTAGATAACTTACGCGTATTTTTGAGTTAACGTTTGACACAAGAGAACGTTGCTCTTCTTGCCAAAAACAAACCAACGCGTTATAAAGATTAAAATGTAATAAATTTGTGCACCTGAAACTGCGTATCTGAAAGGTCAGCCATTGCGTCTTTCATCTTTTCCTTAATTCGATGCGGGCGTCTGCTGTTTGTTATCGGGCGGAGACTTCGTCTACGGCGGCAATAGCGGTGGCGGCGGCGCAAAGTTCCGGAAGTCCCCGCGCTAGCGAAGGCGCTCGCCGCAGCCGGACGCGGGAGAGCGCGTGGGTGGCGGAGGGTGGGGGCAGACGAGCCCTCTGGCGTCGGCTGTTAAAAGCTCTTTGGCGATTGAAAAATTCCACCCTGCCATCTGGCGCCAGCGTCGCGTCGCGTCGCGTGCGCTGTTTGTGTACTCGCGGTGCAGCAACACAGGGCCCGTGACGCGTCGCGACGGCCTCGCCTGGCCGAGCGGAAGCGGCTCTGGGAGAGGGGGGGGGCGCCGCGCAGCGGCTGCGACGAGACGCAGGGGGTCCTTGCAGGACCTCGTTGGCGTTTTCTTAAAGAAATATTGGGTGGTTTTAACTAGTTATTTGGAAGGAAATAAAATGGGTAGACGGGCGGTTCTAAACAGTCAGGAGGAGAAGGAGAATGAGAGTTATTTTCATGGTTTCGGTAATTTTCCACACTGATTCACATATACTATATTTTGCAAATTTCATGTATTTTTTCAATAAGATTTCGGAAAGCTCTTTGACTCTCTTCCTTTAGATCCGTTTCTGAATGGATCCACATAACTAAGGCTGAGCAACTTCAAAAAAAAAAAGTAACACAATGGCTTTCGGGAACAGGATAATTTCATCGGTTTAATTATGTATATACAGAAACGCATAAAGACCATTTTCTCTTCTCCTAATTTAACATAATATTTCAACTTTTTTTATAACCTGTTAGTTTTTTAAAAAGTTTTTCTTTCGCTTGGCATAATGTAACGATTTGTATGATACATCAATGTGTAAACTATTAGTAATTTTCTCATATCTTATTTGCTTGAATTATACAAGACTATTGGAATTTCGAATCCAAAGCAGTTCCTTTGACCGAAAGGACCTTGGGTTCGTGTTCCGACGGGGGAAGGATTTTCAACCCAAGCTAGCTAGCCAAGTCGACATCAGCAGCTCTCTAGAGCAGAATTCTAGAGGCCAGTTGGTGGGATCGGTAGTTTTCCGTGGTTTCTCCTATCGAAATCAGGCGAATGCCGGAGCAATACCCCAACAAACGGGCCAGGGACTTTCTTTCTCTCCTCTACCTTGTCCTGTTATCATCCCTTACTTATGCATTTAAATTACAAGCACTACATTATCACACGTGACGAGGGACTAGTCGGGAGCTTACTGCTTGACCTAGCTAGTGGGGCATACCAGGTTGGGGGAGGCGGACCTACTAGGCGATGAGTAGGTTGTCCCCAGATCTCACCATCCAGCGAGAAAGATCACCGTGATAAAAACATGCGCTACACATGCGGGCCTAATGACCAAAGCAGTTGACGAGCTCGGAATCGCGAAATAATCGAATCCAGTCAAACAACATACATTGTTTAGTTACAAGAATGTAACTGGAATTGCGAACGTTTGATGTAAAGTGTTCCAATATCACTTATAAAGTTGGTCACTCTCCAATCACGAATTTAAGTTTAATTTATACCTGATGGTTTAACCTATACCCATCAACCCAGTCACGTTATTTCAATATAACCCGTGAAGTTAGAGAAACTTGAAATATTTATGATCTGAATGTCGTGAATCAGAAGCAAACCGAAATTAGTAATTGAGTGTGTGCGCTGCTGCTAATCGAACAGGATTGCTTGTGCAATGCCCACCTGGCCCACGAGGACCGCGACCCAGAGCAAGGTCTTACGCGATCTCCGGGAGATGCTCTTCCGCGCCCAGGCGCTCTGCGGCGTGCGCAGGTCTCGAGCACGCAACCGCCGCCCGCATTGCGTCAGGGTTCCGAACACGGCAGTCCCAGCTAAAATACCACATTCAAGACATGTTACACTCCAGTTTGTACCTTGTGACGTAATGGGAATGGCTGCGGAACAAATGTTATCTAATTTACCTTTTATATTTCCAAAAATTAACTTTAAAATACTATTTCAAAGATGACATTTTCGAAAAAAATACTTATTTACAAGTTTTAAGTTTCATAGACAACGACTGTAGCTCTGCACGTTTAGAAATACGGTTTATCAATCGGAATAACAAAATATTTAAGGAAGACTTCAAGACTCTAAAATAGAGTTTCAATTAGATATAATATCCAGTTTCTAACATTACGTACTCTCAAAAACATAAAAGTTTGTAAATTCAAGTAAAACAATGATGTATAGCATTCGCAACTACTTTTTCACAACATTCGAATAACTCTTCAAAACAATAAAAAAGGAATAAACGTTAATCTCAACACATAATTCTGTCAACTCCTAATAAACTTTATCAAACGACAGTTCTGAGAATTTACAAAGAGAATAATAAAACATTTTCTTTAGAAATAACAATCATTAGGCTTTGGCCAATGTATATCCCGCAACCCTCGACACAGCCCTCTTCCTTGTAAGCTCTGCCACTAGGCCCAGCACCTCCCAGCGCGGGCGTCGCGACCCATGCTCCTCCTCCCACGTCTCGATCCCTGCTTCCTTCACCTGTTGACTCGGTGCGGAATGGCGAGGCGAGGGGCGGGACGGGGCGGGCGCTTCCCGGCCC